TGATTTCCATGTTGTGTGATTTCTGGAACTATTCATCTTATAGTTCCTTGCTAATTTTTTCCCTCTGGAAGTAGTTCTTGTTCAGTCTTATGGATGTTAGCCCTGTGCAGGTGCAGATTGTATTCAGCCAAAGACAGAAGGCAGTTCCTATGTAGGTTTATAGAACTCTTTCATTTGTAGTTCTCTCCTCTAGAATAGTCTTCCCAGCAAATTCTAGGTTCCACAGCCTCCTAACCTTCACATACTTGAATCCCCATCTCCTTTACTCAACAAGATTTCCCAACTGTGTTTGGGTTCCTCCTCACTACACCTTAATCAGGAAATTGCCTCCAAGCAAAGAGCCTGGAAAATAGGAGGGCTCACCTCATTTGTTTTTTATTTTTTTCTCAGAGATCATAGTCTTGTTCTGCCTATAGTCCAATGTGTAAAAATAGTTGTTTTCTATAATTTGTCTAGTTTTCTAGTTATTTATGGTAGGAGGGTAATGGTGGACCATTATTGAGCCTATAAATAATTGCATTGCCATAAAAAGTGAAGGAACAGTAAATGTATTGTTTCTGAATTTGAGGGCACTAGTGAGAACCAGTTCCTAGTTTTAAAATGTTTCATTTCAGTTTATAAAAGCATAGCTAATAAACTGAGGATTAGAAATGCATCAAGAAGAAAGAAAAAGGGCTTTCTGATATATCATCTGAAATGTATAACCACAGTTAATTTTTCTCATTATTTAATTTAGCCCTGTATAATTGATTCTTATTCCCCTGGATTTTGAGTTAGCAGTTTGCTTTCATATGGCATTATATTCCTGGATATAAAGGATTCCAATAAAGCCTAATTCAGCCATATGGTGTGTTCTGAAATTGTCTCCTCAGTATCAGCTTAAGCACCATATCCTGTACCTGTGAGTCTAATTCTTGAATTCAAATAGTGTAGAATACCTGATATGATCCTTTCTACATGTCAGTGAAGACCTAGTTTCTATCCTGTACCTGAAAGCAGAAACTTTAGGTAAACATTAGAGAAAAGCACAAACTACCAGTTGATCAAAAGCCTGAAAAGTTTGAATGGTTCATTTATTAGAGTCATCAATAGTATGGGAATGGAGAAAAGCAAAATCTCTTATTTTGCAGACAGGGGTGTGATAATAACTATTTATTAAGAGTTTGATCAAAGTTTCTCTTGAGGATAAGAAAATATTATGAAGAGAAGTGGACTTGAGTTTCTACAAGCATTCAGTCCATTCTAGTTACATGTACAATATATGAAACATTTATGCTAAGAACATTAATTATGCTTATATTAATAACATTTAAAATTAACCTAGGGAAGGCTGGCTGAATTTCTTTGACAGTTCTTCCTATGCAGCTCTTACATTGCTATCTATTAGGAAATAATGGAGAATATCATAAATTAGGAGTTTGGGATTACAGTATACACACTACTATGTATAAACTAGGTACACAACAAGGACCTACTGTACAGCACAGAGAACTATATTCAAGGTCTTGTAACAACCTATAATGGAAAAGAACCTGAAAAAGAAAACATATGTATATATCTGAATCACTTTGCTGTACACCTGAAACTAACACAACATTGTAAATTAACTACTTAAATTTAAAAATGAATTAAAAAAAGAAAGATATTGTAAAATTCTTCCCAACTGCAATTAGGAACAATAGTTTCTCTTATTTTGTAAAAAGCCATTACAATATGATGAGTTTTCATTAAAAAACTAATATCTTACAAAAATAAATAAATAATGGAGAATACCAAACAAATTGTAATTATTTCTAGCATTCTTATATTTATGAGATAAGAGAACAAATCTGTTATTTTCTGATGGCAATCTCAGAAATCTCAAAGATAGTTTTAGGTATTATTAAAATCATGAAGAAAAAAAAATATTTTTGACTTTAGACTCTGACCTTGGTAAGGTAAAGTCACCAGAGTTGTCCAAGGTGGTTACTTAATTAAAAAGGATTATTGGTTATCTAGTAAAAATTGCTTAACTCCCTGTTAATCAAAGTGACAGTGCAAGAGCTTGCATAAAATAGGAAAAGGTACTAAAATTATAGGGAACTTTAGCTCTTTCAAAAAACGGGGAGGTTTTTAAAAATAACCATTTACATAATACAAAGCATAGAAAATTATTCTGGTGAAATATTGAATCTCTGCCATCCAGGTAAATTTATAGAAAGTAAACAAAAACCTTGGACTACCACTGTAAAGAGCAAACTGAATACTTCACAAGCAATTTCCATGTATAGAATTTTTAAAAACCCAAATTCTAATTGTGCATCAATATAGTATGAGGCTTTACGGTATTCACAAGGATATTTTTTAAATTATCTTATGAATGACCCCACCAAAATTGAACAATTGTTGCTAAATTTTTTTCAGAATCATTATTTTCTTGTGCATAGGTATTATCAACAAAACCAAGGTTACCTTGCACAAAATGTCTATAATTTTCCATATTCATTCAAGCCTTGACATTCACTGTCCTCTTTCATATTCTGAAACAACCAGATATAGCATTAGGATAAAACAGTTTTGTCTTTTGAGAAGCAATTACACATCCTATTATCCTGAGACATAATTGTCTTCTGCCATTATTGCTACTGGCATGTCCTAATTGTAGTAATTATAATTTTTAAACCAATTAAGTTATATTTCAGAAAGATGTAAAGGTAGATAATTTATTTCTGCCTCTCATACAGAAGCTAGTTAGCAGCCTAAAAACTCATACACACCTAATACAATCCCTTACAGTCACACTCATTTTCTTTTTAAAGTGACAAAAATGAACAAGTTAATACAACCCAAAGGTATAGCCATTCTGTAATATATAAACTAAGCAAAATTGTATGTGTATACACATGTGTATATGCATATATACAAGCACTCACAAATATATACACATCCTGAGCAGACTTACTGACTTGGTCAAGAATCAGAAACAAAAACAAAGCAACAAAAAACCAAAATGAGAAGAAAAAAACTCAGAGAAATGGAGAATCAGCCAAGTTAAATTTTTGATGCCACTTGGGAATCACCCTACTTTAGAGGCATTAGGTGGAAGAATGTTGAAATACAGTTGTTAGGTTCGAAGTAAAATCTGCTAATGTCCTATAGAGTAATAAAACCGTAATTTCGGGTTATCATTTCAATCAGACAAAACTCATTTACATATCGGCCAGACAAAAACTATGTTAACATATAAGTTCACAAAATCTAGGCTCTTATCAGTACTGACTAGCAAGTTATACAAAGTACATTCCTTAAATAAATTAAATAACCTTTAGGTTTACCTTAGATGGGTCCTTTAATGAATGTTCAAAAATGACATTGAAAAGAAATGTGGTTCTCCAATTTTCTCTATTTACAAGTGTGGACAATTTTTAACAGGTATATTAGCACTATTCCAGCAATATTTGTTTTTAATGACCTCCACACCTCTTTTTAACAGCAACATTACTTTTAAGTAATTTTTATACAGCTCATTTTTTTATGTTCGGCAATATGTAATCAAGTGCTCTTGCATGCACTATAGGGAGTAATTTTTTAGCTAACATTTGAAGATCTCATGTGAATACTAGTTTGGGGTGAGTAAGTTATTATATGATCAAGCATTTTTCCTCCTTTGGAATGTTTTTGCAACAACTTTCTTGAATTGTATTCATTGTTTCAATAGAACCTTCAAAGTTACACTGATTTTAACTTCCTATAATCAACTCCGATTTTTTTCTGATTGGTAGATGAATGTTTTAATTAAATTGAATACTATTTTTACAATATTATATTCTGCTGTAACATATTATAGTTATCACTTATGTTATACATAAGAACAAGAGAACAGTATTAACAGTTAATAATATAGCATACTATAATTTTAGAATGTTTTAGAATGTTCTAATATCCTATAAACAAACAATATATCTAACAACCATTTAATGTTCTAATGAATCCTAGAAATTATTAATCCCAAGAGCTACTCTGGAAAATTAAATAAATTTACATTTCTTTTGAGAGAAAGTCTCAAGGTTTGCTTGCTCAATTCAAATTTATTTTTATATAATGCTCTTTGGTAATAGTGCAAGAAAAGAATCCAAGTATCTGTCACATCTTGCTCATTTGGAAACATATAGATACAAATAAGACCTGAGATCTCTCTCCCCTTGAAATGTAAATGATATTGGCTCAAATCTCTATTTCAGAATTCTGATCCTCTTCTTTCTGCATACCCTGTTATTATGATCCAAAGACACAACTCACCAAAGAACAAAACTCTTTCGTAAAGTATTGAGTTTACTGAAAAATTTTGTATAATTGGGAAAGGTCACACAATTTAATGCCATAAATTAGGACAATGTAATTCACACATTGAACATTCCTTTTCTTAGAAGGCCTTTTAGCCATCTCACCCATGGGAGTCTCTCATTGTCCTGTTACCTCATATAACTACCTGTTATCCTTGCTTCTCATTTTTTTCCCCATATGGAATAGTAATTTACCTTCCTTCGCTCCTCATACCAATGATTTTAGTACCTCAGCCTCCCACTCGATGCTTCTTAACCCTGACTGCACATGATAATCACCTGGCCCCTGGCCCCAGAGATTTTAATGTAACAGTCTCAGGAGGTACCCAGGCCCGTGTATTTTTTAAATGCTTCTCAGATAATTATTGAACTGAAGGGACTAATCAAATTATTTTTCCAGATATTTCTCTTTCTAAGAGGACTTCTGGTGCTAGATGGTAAGAAAATAAAAGTTTCAACTTCTTATATAAGACTATACATTTACAATCTGAAAGCATATAGCTTATTTCACATTTATTTCAATGCAGTCACAATTATTACTTTATGTTTTGGATTTTTATGCCAATTCTTGGTAATACAAATTCTTGAATTTTCTTGAATTTTTTCTTATGTATTATCTATGCACACAATCTGATGGTTTGACTGAATTTGTTTTTTACTTCTTTTGCTTTCTTTCAGTATTGTCTGAGATTTCAATGTGTAGAGCTTAAATACCATGTCAATTTTCAGAGTTGCAGTTCTACCAGAGATTGTAATTCAAATGGAGTAAGTAATTTCAGTTTTCATTTTAAGCAACATGCTTTGAACAATTCAATAAACAGTTTGGAGATTTAAAGAAATCATTTGAATAATTTTTTTGATCACTTTCATGCTGCTTGGTGTCATTTAACAGTTTGTAAATTATAACTTCAATCTTATCTTCTTGAGAAATCTTGCCAAACTGTTTATTAGAGAAGATAAAGTAGAAACATTTAAGATGATTCTGGATGTATAAGATGTTTGGTAAATATGTGGGCTGGATGTGCTATAAGCACTATGTGTTACCATCTAACCAAAATGATCTTATTTTTACAGAGAGAAGGCAGGAAATGGTAAATAAAGGTCATTAGGATTTTCTTGCTGGTCTTGCTCATTAATTTAGTGTCTGGGCTGTTCTGTGAAGCTAGGAAGTAAATGATAATTAGAGGCATGTTACTGGTGATTGACAATAGTTTGGTCTGGCTGTGGGGAGAGTTGAAAGAATTTATTTGGCAAAAGAATTTATTTGGCAAAAATTGATTTGGCAACAGAAGCCAGATATACTTTCTACAGTATGGGAAATGTCAAGAGAAAATTTGTTGAATTTGTCTATTTAAGGTAAATTCTCTGGAATGGATAAATTCTCTGGAATAAATTCTCTGTTGAATACGTGTAGAATATTAATTGGCCTCTATTGAAAACCATCTTTGTACATAAAAATTGTTCTATTTTCTGATTATTCTAGGTCTGCAACAATTTTAACCATTGCCATTGTAGAATGGGGTTTGCTCCTCCTCGTTGCAAGCCGATGGCAAAAGATTTTGGAAGTATTGATGATGGACACAGGAGGAAAGTTGGTTAGTGTCTTTAAAACTTTATTAATCAAAGACAATATGTAAGACAATAAATTACGGTTGTAGGTTCCAAGTCACATTGCAAAGCAACTAATGTCAACAAATACGGTTTTACTTTACTTGTAAGATTTTAAAAGACTCTAAGACAGTTAAGTTTGAACTCTTCTTTATATATCAAGAGTTGTCTGACATTGTCTAACAAACATTGTCTAACTGACATTGTCTAACAAAAGTGTAACTAGTGGTAGGAATTGTCTACAAAATTGTCTGACAAAAAGTGTAACTAGTGGTAGGAAATTTTAAAAGTAGAAATTCCCGTGCATATAATTTGATTAGTTAATTTAGATTATTCACTTTGTATTGTCTCATATATTCCTAGTTTTAAATGATGTTAGTAGTCATTGTAATATTAATGCCACCAGAATCTTTCAAGGCTACTCCTTTCTCCTGCATTTTAGGGGCTACAATCTCATCTTTAGAAATTTCCCTTTAGGATATCCCCTCTAGGGTTCCTGAGTAGTATTTTGAGATCAAGCAGGCCTGGATGAGACTGGGAACAGGTGGGGGATAGTCCCTGGTTCCAGAAGGTTATTGGAGCCCACCTAAAGTAACCTGGGAGAAGAGGAGGTCTGTCTACCTTTACAAACCCTTTTTCTTTTGGGGCAATTAAATGGTGAACTCCTGGGCAGACTTATGTGTAGCCTGACTATTAGTGGGGGGCATACCTAGGGTGAGTAACTTTTCAGACAGCTAAAACACAGCTGTATCAGACTGTGTATCAGACCAAAAAATAAACATAATCATTTAACATATACAACTACACGTATATTATTATTTTCACATAAATATGTTGAAAGAATAGGCATTCATTTGAAATTGTATATTATTCTGTACTGTGTACTTTCGTTACATAAATTGCTATTATTTAAGTGAAATAGCAATAGAACTAGTAAACAGTGCTGATCAATAGTAGTTTATAGAACAACCAATTAAAAAATAAAATATGTGAGCAAAAACAGCAATGCTTTATAATGAGAATATTTTATAATGTAACCTCTGATACAGCAATTTATTTTACCTCTTTTTAAAAATTCTTTACTAGATATTTAAATTTTGCATGGTTATCTTATTGTTTATTCTTAAGATACATAAACATAGGACTTTTAGAAAGGAGAAAGAATATAAATATGATAGGAATGATTAAAGATATGCTCATATTTAATGAAAATAGCATTGACATGCTTCCTTCTGTGCCATAATACAGTCAGACATATTTTTGATTTTTGGTTTCATTTTCCAGTTATACTTTTCTGAACTGCTTGCAGCCTATAAGACATTCTTCTTTTAAGTAGTAGCAAAATGGAATAGAATCAAATGTAAAATTCATTTTGACTTGAAGCTCTGTTTTAACAAACCCACATTTACTGAATTCTGGTGTCAGTCCATCATGGTGGCATTAAGCTAAGTATCTTGACAAAAGCATTTGAGCATGGGATACTTGGGTCTTATTTACTAGATACAGCAGGTTTTCAGGCTTGGAAATATTATTTTGCAGCTCTTCAAAACTCATTCTCTTTGTTTCTACAGGCTTATTCTAGTAGGCCACCTCTCTGTCAATCAGCTCCTTTGCATATTTAAATTCATCTTATAGGCTGTCCATGTCTATAAGGCCCATCATATTTATACACTCCAAAGCACATTGGATGTCATGTGTTAAATCTCTCTTTCTCAGGGAGCATGCTTTAAAGCACAGAAGTAATCTTAATTAGTGAAATCTAAGTTGAATTCCACATAAATTACAGTTTTAATAAAGGAACTGAGAAGGTCCTTCTTAACTTGCTTACCCATTTCTGGTTACATTTTTTTGAGTTCTGAAGCAGTCTTATTTCCAAAAATATGAGTCATTTTTTCATTGTATGAGTTGTCACAACCTGTGCAAATCATAGAACTACCCAGGTGCAGTCAGTGCATCCTTTTCTATAATCCTGATGGCCCCTTCACAGGTCATCAGATTGTTTTGGAGAAATAGCACATAAATTTCTGCTTCACTACACACTTTTTTTCCTATTCTCATCCTCTATGAATTTCAAAATTAGAGAAGTACATTCTTCTTGTCCAAACTTTTAAAAATAAGATTTTACATCTTAAATATTTTAACATATCTTTTATGGTCAGTAAGGAGTACAGTCGTCTTCTACACTTGTTTAAGGAAGCAATTTCTTTCCATTTTGTGAAGTTAAAAAAAAAATTCTTGGTAAGTGCTTATGCGTTTTGAGGAAACTGAAACTGACTGAAACTTTCATTATGAAAGCCTTTATATCACAGGAAAACAAATCACACTCCTTTTGGTGTTGTGTACCAGGTGTACAGGACATTTGGCAAGTGAGATCTTTTTCTTTTCTTCATTAAGAAAATTACAGACTGAACGGAACTTGCAAAAATTTACATTTGCCCTGTCTGCTAACTACACATATAGATGAGCAAAGTCTAGTTTGTATTTGAGCAAGATAGCAAAAATCTTTTTGTTTTATATGGTTTTATTAAAATTTTCATAGAAATTCAGAAGCCTATTTGAAACTCTGTTCTGGAAACCAAATTACCTAAGAGCTGGGGGCAATATTTTGCTGCCACATTCACTTGGTAAAATGTGACAGAATCATTACTTCACTGTGAGGAGTCAACAGATGTTATCAAAATAACTCTTTTTTCTCCCGTTGGGCATTTTAGTTGCAATCTATGAATCTGGAAATGTAATTTCACTCAGTTTTGTAGAGCAATCAAGAAACTGAATGAATAGATAAAACATTTTTGTTCTTGTGGTGTACCCAAACTAATTCAGTGGTAGCTATTTTTATTTGAACATTGCTATCTTTTGGGAAGACAATTTGTTTTTTTCATTTAGGAAACAGAAAAATATGATTGACTTAGAAATACTTGCTTGTCTCACTGCAGACATTTGAGATTCCATCTCCATATGTAGCTTTCACAGCTCCTTCTCCACCATACCCAAATCCAAATATTTTTAATTGAGATATAACTGATGTATAACATTACATTAGTTTCAGGTGTACAACATAGTGATTTGATATTGTATACCTTGGAGAATAATCACTGTAATGAGTCTAGGTAACAGCTGTCACCATGCATAGTTACAAATTTTTTTTTCTTGTGTTGAGAACTTTTAAGTTCTAATCTCTTAGCAACTTTTAAATAAGCAACACTGTATTATTGAATGCTTCTGCACACTAAGCGGAGATGTCGGCACAGCCGTTTCACACTGGGCACTCTGGTTTGAAGTGTTGGGTGCAAAGCCTCTGCACTCGACACCTTATGAGGGAGTGAAACGAGACTAAGCACAAAGGGAAAAAAAAGGAGGCAGAGAAAAGATGGCTGGGTAGAAAGACGTTAGTTACCTCACCCTCTCTCACAAAAACACCAGAATCACAACTAACTGCTGAACAACCATCAACAGAAAAATACTGGAACCTACCAAAAAGGATACCCTACATCCAAATATAAAGGAAAAGCCACAACAAGATGGTAGGAGGGGCACAGTAGTGGTAAAATCAAATCCCATACCCATCGGGTGGGCAACCCACAAACTGGAAAATAATTATATCGCAGAGGTTCTCCCAAAGGAGTAAAAGTTATGAGCCCCATGTCAGGCTCCCCAGCCTAGGGGTCTGTCATTGGTAGGAGGAGCCCTCTGAGCATCTGGCTCTGAAGGTCAGCGGGGTTTGATCACAGTAATTCCACAGGACTTGGGGAAACAGAACCTCCACTCTTGGAGGGCATACACAAGGTCTTGTATGCACCAGGTCCCAGGGAAAAAGCAGTGACCTCATAAGAGCCTGGACCAGACCAACCTGCTGGTATTGGAGGGTCTCCTGCGCAGGCTGGGGGTGGTTGTGGCCCACTGCAGGGACAAAGACACTGGTGGCAGTAGTTCTGGGGCGTACTCATTGGCATGAGCCCTGCTGGAGGCTGCCATTTTCTCACCAAGACCTGGCCCCACCTAACTGCCTATAGGCTCCAGTGCTGGGATGCCTCGTGCCAAACAACAAGCAGGATGGGAGCATAACCCCACCTATCAGTGAACAGGTTGCCTAAAGTCTTCCTGAGCCCACAGCTTCCCACTAAACACACCCCTTGACATGGCCCTGCCCACCATAGGGACAAGACCCAGTTCCACCCACCAGTGGGCAGGAACCAGGCCCTCCCATCAGGAAGCTGGCACAAGTCCCTTAGACCAGCATCATCCACCAGGGGGCAGACAGCAGAAGCAAGAAGAATGACAACCCTGCAGCCTGTGGAACAGAAACCACAATCACAGAAAGTTAGACAAAATGAGATGGCAGAGGAATATATCCCAGAGCAAGGAACAAGATAAAACCCCAGAAGAACAAGTAAGTGAAGTGGAGATAGGCAATCTACTCAAAAAAGAATTCAGAGTAATGACAGTAAATATGATCTAAAATCTTGGAAAAAGAATGGAGGCACAGACTGGGAAGATACAAGAAATGGTTAACAATGAGCTAGAAAATCTAAAGAACAGACTAACAGAGATGAACAGTAAAATAACTGGAATGAAAAATACACTAGAAGGAATCAATAGCAGAATAAATGTAGCAGAAGAACGGATAAGTTACCTGGAAGACAGAATGGTGGAAATCACTGCCAGGGAACAGAATAAAGAAAAAAGAATGAAAAGAAATGAGGAGAGTCTAAGAGACCTCTGGGACAACATTAAATGCATCTCATTATAGCAGTCCCAGAGGAGAAGAGAGAGAGAAAGGACCTGAGAAAATATTTGAAGATATAATAGCTGAAAAATTCCCTAACGTGGGAAAGGAAACAGTCACCCAAGTCAGGAAGCGCAGACTCTCAGGCAGGATGAACCCAAGGAGAAACATACTGAGACACATAGTAGTCAAATTGATAAAAATAAAAGACAGAGGAAATATAAAAAGCAACAAGGGAAAAGCAACAAATAAAATGCAAGG